CTGTACCAATGTGTGATGTTGTCTTACGGAAAAGCGAGGAAAAAACAAAGGCAATGAAATGATTTTATGACATCATTGTAATCATCTGACATACATACATTTATTTAAAAAAATCTTATTCATCTAACCGTACTAAAACATCCTAAAACCATAAAAACCGTACTAAAACGTTCTAAAACCATAGATTCATGTTATATTCAGATTAAGAGCTGATCATAATCTCTCCCTCCCTCCCTCCCTCCCTCCCTCCTCCCTCCCTCCCTCCCTCCCTCCCTCCCTCCCTCCCTCCCTCCCTCCCTCCCTCCCTCCTCCCTCCCTCCCTCCCTCCCTCCCTCCCTCCCTCCCTCCCTCCCTCCCTCCCTCCCTCCCTCCCTCCCTCCCTCCCTCCCTCCCTCCCTCCCTCCCTCCCTCCCTCCCTCCCTCCCTCCCTCCCTCCCTCCCTCCCTCCCTCCCTTCCTCCCTCTGACACACTTGATACAGCCAAGATTATGTGCGCAGTTACATTGAACTATACCAGAATATTTGCCTATTGATTACTTCTCTTAATTTCACATAGATATTACTGATCATTAAAAATATGCATAAGTATTGTAAAGTATATCATTCCCGGTTAATTAAACTATAATTTACACTATAAACCATGCTTCAGAGAACAACATAGAACCCGTCTAGGTACCGGACGCATTGTGATCTCTCAATGAAATTAATACACGTACATACCATACTCCTTGTGTATAGTTTATATCTGTATCTGAAGGTAAATTCCAACATACCTTTCCGCTTTTGAATTCTGGTCTACCACACCAGCTTAATGAAACGCTACTAAACAAAACCCCACATTGTCTATACATAGAAAAGTGCATATCTTTAGCTTGAAACTCCTCATGGTAATGTATCTTCTCAGAATAATCACTAGGGTCAGTACAGAGTTTAATGTTTGCTCCGTCTTTAGCAGGAACTGTTTTTAGAATAAATCCACATTTTCCAGGTTTAGAACAATTTTCCGCATTAGGGTGTCCACAAAGACATTCAATTTTTGTGTTCACTTCAAATAAAGAAGAGATGCTTCCGTAGGAAGAATTTGAAGAATGTGAAGAATAGGAAATCCAATATTGTCGTTCATAGTTTGAAGAACAAAAACGTGTGTCAGATTTAAAAATCCTGAAAAAACTTTTGTTATAAAATGCACGTCTGTCGAAGTTTAACAAGTGTTGACTAAACCGATTCCACTTCCTGTTTTCTTTGATTTCGTAAATTGACTGCAGCAGCTGAGGAGAACTTTCTACTTTAAACTTATTATTCTTCCACATCCAAGTCCACAAACCTTCAAAAAACATTATCAAGTTAGTTACTTGCTCTGATTTACCCAACCAATCAACAACTTCATCAAATGTCATACTGTAGTCTAATGTGTGGAACAGGTTTGGTACAATGTTAACGTCCTCCAAACGATCTGTGGAGGTACTGGAACCAACTAAAGATTTAGATTGTCTTCCTCGCTTTACCACAGACTTTCGAATTAGTTGTAGAGTCCACTTTGTTTCAGTGAACGATTCTTTAGTTATTTTCTCCAGCACATCAAACAATTTCTCAAACATCTTAATGTTGTTCTGATGACATAAATACAAGTCACTGTTCTCAAGAAGATATTTACAGTTAGCAGGTACAACTGTTTCTCCTTTAGACAAACTTGCTGTAAGTTGTTCAGTTAAAGGTTTAACAACAAACTCAACTTTAGTTCCAGCAAGTTCTATTATCAAGTCCAGCTGTTGAAAAAACAAAGTGGATATGTTTTCTAGATACCTGCTGATAAAACCATCTTGTCCATTCAATAATCCTATTTTCGTAAAGGCAATTTCAGCTAACTGTCTTGACTTGAGCTTGCTAAGGACAAAAGCAGCTTCCTCAAATAAAAAATAATAATCTTGATAGGAAGGCTCTTTGATAGCTGCAGCAATATCAGCAAACTGTTCAACACATCTTGTAGCCAGCCATGACATTTCAAACACGTTAGCTAATTTGTTGATATCTCTAAAGAGAACTCTAGATATTGGTGGACTCTCTCCCGAGTAGGCAGCATCTATAAAATATCTCACAGCATCCTCACTGAACTCCTCCATATCCACACTGGTCAGATGAAGAGTTGTGGTCATGTGATCTATCACGGGACTGTTGAAAGATAGGATCACTGAACTGGCTGGTATCACTGCCCCCTGACTTGCCTTTAGTTCCAGGGTACTGTGGGTTGGAGAGTCCAGTAACCGGATACCAAAATTCATTGGTACACTCACATTCGGAGCCATTGTTCCTGAGTGAAGAAAATTAGTATAAACCAAGCCAATAACAATAGTAACGGGATTGAAAACTAATAGATCAGGTTCGACTGGTTAAGGTTCGACTGGTTAAGGTAAAAATAAACTATGACAAAACGATCAGTCTATCCTCTAGAATTCCACTCATAGGCATTGTTGAAAATATTGTATCTTTAAAGATAAGAAAGAGCAGATTATGTACATTTAATTGTTATAAAACTGTTCTTAAATCAATCAAAATAAAAAGAAGTGCAACACTGCACCGCCATGTCAACTAAACAATCACGTAACAAATTTATCGTTTAAAGTAATGATTTAAATATCATATATTGTCTAGTAAAAAGGTTATTAAAAATTGAATCCAAAAGCTTATTTACTAGACAAGACAGTTGCTTACTGCTTACTTACCAATGATTAAGTTGGAAGCCAATATAAGCGCATGCTAGGATTTATAAAACTATTTTTTAAAAAATTATAATATATGGAATCTCGATTGAACAAAATAGTACAGAGGATAAGCTTCTAATATTTTAATTCTTTTCATGTTCAGTGAGTATTTACCTTTTTTGTAGAACAAGGACTTCACTTTCAAAATATGTAAATATGTAAATATTTGACATCTATGGTTTATTTCAAATTGATTACTGCATAAAGACGGAGGTCTTCTTTGCTACTTTGAAGTTTGCTCAGTTCATCCCAATTAACTCGGCCGTTTCTGATTTCAGGTTTTCCAAACCAGCTCAATGGAATAATCTTATTTACGGAAGTACTCACAACTAGTAAATGTAAATCTTTAGTTTGAAACGCCTCATGGTAATGTACCTTTTCAGAATAATCACTAGGGTCAGTGCATAGTACCACGTTAGCTCCTTCGTTAGCAGGGACAATTTTAAGTATAAAACCACATTCTCCTTGATTGTAACAGTTCTTTACGGCAGGATGTTTGTAGTGATACATCAGTTTTGTTTCCTTGGAAAAGATTGAACAAATACTATTATGCGAGTAATGTGCTTGAAATTCCTCCTTGAGTACCCATTTCTTTGCAAAAAATCTGCCCGAGCATAATGTTTCGTTATGTCCTATGTTCTGGAAGAAGCTATCGGCGTTAACATTAGTACTTTGTATATAATTAACAATCCAACCGTTATAAGAGGAATCCCACATTCTTCTTTCTTTAATTCTACAAAAGATGTCTACCAACTGTTTGGTACACTCAACTTTAACTTCCTTATTTACCAACATCCAAGTCCACAATCCGTCAAAAAACTTCATCAAGTTGGTTACTTGCTCTGATTTACCCAACCAATCAACAACTTCATCAAATGGCATACTGCAGTCCAATGTGTGGAACAGGTTTGGTATAACGTTAACATCCTTCAAAAGGTCCGTGGAGGCACTGGAACCAACTAAAGATTTAGTTGGATCTTCTCGCCTCTTAAGAGATTTTCTATGGAGTTGAAATGTCCATTTCGTATCAGCTAAGGACTCATTGGTAATCTTCTCCAATACATCAAACAGTTTCTCAAACATCTCAATGTTGTTCTGATGACATAAATACAACTCACAGTTCTCAAGAAGATATTTACAGTTAGCAGGTACAACTGTTTCTCCTTTAGACAAACTTGCTGTAAGTTGTTCAGTTAAAGGTTTAACAACAAATTCAACTTTAGTTCCGGCAAGTTCTATGATCATGTCCAGCTGTTTGCAAGACAGATAGGACAAGTTTTCCAAGTATCTGCTAATAAAATCTTGTTGTCCATTCAGGGATTGAATCTTTGTGAAAGCTATTTCAACCATTTCTCGAGATTTGAGTTTAGTCAGTACAAAAGCAGCTTCTCCAAACAAAAAGAAGAAATCTTCATAAGACGGTTCTTTAATAGCTGCAGCAATATCAGCAAACTGTTCAACACATCTTGTAACCAGCCATGACATTTCAAACACGTTAGCTAATTTGTTGATATCTCTAAAGAGAACTCTAGATATTGGTGGACTCTCTCCCGAGTAGGCAGCATCTATAAAATATCTCACAGCATCCTCACTGAACTCCTCCATATCCACACTGGTCAGATGAAGAGTTGTGGTCATGTGATCTATCACGGGACTGTTGAAAGATAGGATCACTGAACTGGCTGGTATCACTGCCCCCTGACTTGCCTTTAGTTCCAGGGTACTGTGGGTTGGAGAGTCCAGTAACCGGATACCAAAATTCATTGGTACACTCACATTCGGAGCCATTGTTCCTGAGTTATTATATTTAGATAGACCAAAGTGCTCCTTTTGACTCCTGGAAATTTCTAGGAGTCAGGGGTGCTTATGCTAGGAACATAGCATGCAATATCCTAGACGTCATAAAAGTTGAAATTTACAAATTTCCATATTTCAGATTATGGTCAAGATTCGAGCACTTTTATGGCATGGTAAATTTGACAATTACACGTTCTGCTGTTTCTAATTCAAAAAAGTCTCATCTACATTGTGCTGATTCCATTACAAATTTTCTTTATTCTAATGTGGTTGCCCAAATTTCCAGCTATACACAAGGACAGAAGGTTCACATATATCATGTAATCTCCGAGTGAAGGGGGTCTGAAAATTGCCGATTATATTATTATATAAATGGTTCCTAACAAAAAATACCCAGTGCGTAGAGCTCTGAGTGTGAACGGGTGCAAGACAAAAGTCAGTTCAAAAAGGATCGCAAAAACTCAACACCGTGGTAACTAAAGGCCGGACTATTGTGAGTATACTAATACCACGCTGATCAGATGATGCACAATGATATCCATTTAAATGTAATAAGATATGTTAAACATAGTTTTTAATTTATAAATAATACAACAAACTGCAGAAAATATCGTTTAAAATTGTATAAATATGAACAAACTGTTTAGTATAACATAATCGTATCACTATTATAACATTTTGTAGACATTTATTTGAGATTGCTGCTTTTGTGCTTGTCTGAATTTGGCCAAATTATCTAGCTCCTCTTGGATGATTATATAACGCTTTAGCTCTCTTTAGCTTTATATTGTGCAAGAAAATGGATTGATTGAGCAATTCTCAACAAAAGAATTACCTAAACCTGGTTAGATTTAATAGACCTATCACCTAACAGTAACAGCCTAAAATAGCCTAAAACAGACCGAACTCGACTGAACAAAGACTAAAACTAACGTATCCTAACATCAGTCCAAAAACAAATCACCATCACCGTCCCTAAAATGATTACTGAGTTTATCGTTGTTAAACAAGGATGACGTAACAATAAAGTCAGACATGTTAACGGGTCTGACAGAGGGCATGTCGAAGTGCTCTTCTGAGGAGGAGAAGGAGGAGGAGGGCTCCGCCAAGGATTGTTCTCTGCGTGGTGGTAAAAAACTTACAGTTAAAATTAGGGTTATTTATTTATTTTATTAAGTAATAGCCTTGTATTAATTTACAAGTTTACATAGGTAAGGCTCCAAGATATTTTAAAAAGATCTTTTATTAGATTATTGATTTGTTTGCCCGAAGCTTGAGTTCGAATACAATAAACAAAGAAAAATTTAGTGCGAGGTTATCAATTTATTTGGATCAAGGCTGAACTTTGATTTTTAGAAAAAACTCAAGCGAGATAATTTAATCTTAAATAAAAATGTAATACGATATTTCAGTTATCAGCAGAAAACACAGTCCATATATGACTGGAATCAGACACTGACAACATGTGACAATAACACGTGACAGCAGCACGTGACAACTACACGTGATAACTGGATAACAACACGTGACTATAACACGTGACTAGACCACGTGATAAACGTACGTGACAACAGCACGTGACTACAACACGTGACTATAACACGTGACAAACATACCTGAAAATCTCCCGGTAACGGACCATACAAGATTGAGAACAATATTCCTTTATGTCAGAGCCAGACATTCCTTCTGTAGCCAGGGAGATTTGGGAAAAATCTACGTTGGAGCCTACGTCCTCATCTGAAAAAAATTAAATAAAAATGAAATAAATATGATGGAAAAGAGAAACGACACGATGTTGATGTTTTAATCTATCATGTAAAAGACCATGAACTACCAACCTTTTAACAGCACCTGTAGGATATGCAGTCTGGCTGCCTTGTTTGGGAGTTTCAGAGGGAATCTGACTGGAAGTCTCCTGTACACTGCTGCGTCCAACACATCCGGCTGAAATTTAAGTAATTTGTCAGAGTGTAAGGATCACCATTACAGGACAATTAGAAACACCGGCACCTTCCCAATATGGATAAAACAGACCATATTGAAACTATATCTGACATCTCAGCTCGAATGATAGAGATAAAAATCTTATAAACTTGCATAGAACCCCATCGAATCTTCATTATAATTCGGAGTTCTACTGTAAAATTCTGTTTCACGCTGTGCCGGATTATAACATGAAAACTAACCAAATTAGTAGCTCCCATCACAACGATCCTTGTATCTTTGGATGATATTAGTCCATCCCAGTTAGTCATAAATACTGACTTAATCTGCTGAGAGGCTTCGTGATCTCGGGTTGACCTCTGACTGAAAATAAGCGGTAATTCTAGTCTCCGATGTACGAAAAAGATGTTTTAATGTATTCAAAATTCCATATTTTTGTAAACGTTACCACAATCCAACTATCCATTTTAAATTTGGTAAATTATTGGGCACCAGAAGTATTTTCGATAAATTACCCGAGAAGAATGTCTATTTCGTCGATGAATAGGATGACAGGACTGTAAGCACTGAGTTTCGCAGCTAGGGAGAAGATAGCAGCTACGTATTTGGGGGACTCTCCAACGTACATGTCATGTAGCACACTTATCTGGGTGTGGTTTATATATGTCATGTAGCACACTTATCTGGGTGTGGTTTATATATGTCATGTAGCACACTTATCTGGATGTGGTTTATATTGTCACTTTATGTGGGGTGTTTGTGCTACCAATTTTATAATATCTTATACAATAACTCATGATTTATAAGCTAGATTCGGTTCAAGTTAGGGGCACAGAGTCAACTAAATACAGATAATGATGTAAGGGTTTAAGACAATATACTATGTATATTGTATAATGTACAAGTTCAAATCATGTTCATACGCTCAGACAACCTAAACACTTACATCCACATTTATGAAGATACACCCACTTTCTTTAGCGATAGCTTTAGCCATCATAGTCTTACCGCAACCTGGCGGCCCGGACAACAATACTCCTGCAATTCACGTTATTTGTCAGTAAACCAGTACCTATAAGGTTTAGGGTACAGGATTTACAACTAAATTATTTAGATTTGTAAATCAATATGGCATTGTGTTCTGGGATGAAATTAATAGTGGAACGGTGGCATAGAATGTGAAAACTGAGTGCAATATGCTCATAAAACATGTGACAAATCCATTTTAGTCTGATTAAATCAGTAGACATTAAGATTTCAACCTTTTGGGAAGGAGAGAAGTTTGGAACCACTGAATATTTCGCTGTTTACAATTGGCATTATGATAGTTTCTCTGAGGGTTTGAATCTCCTTGTCAAGTCCTCCGATATCTTTCCAGGTGACCTGTTGAGAAGATTGTGACATGTTATCATCGTTACATAATGCAGACCGAATTGCAAACTATTCACTTGGATCTTGTGAATAAATCTCTTGAAAAAGATGATACCTGCCACCTGGTACTTGAACCTGGCACTTGAACCTGGCACTTGAACCTGGTACTTGAACTTGGTGTTTGAACCTGGTACTTGAACCTGGTACTTGAACCTGGTAATTGAACCTGGTGCTTGAACCTGGTACTTGAACCTGGTGCTTGAACCTGGTACTTGAACCTGGTACTTGAACCTGGTACTTGAACCTGGTGCTTGAACCTGGTACTTGAACCTGGTGCTTGAACCTGGTACTTGAACCTGGTGCTTGAACCTGGTGCTTGAACCTGGTACTTGAACCTGGTGCTTGAACCTGGTATTTGAACCTGGTACTTGAACCTGGTACTTGAACCTGGTATTTGAACCTGGTACTTGAACCTGGTGCTTGAATCTGCCACCTGGTACTTGAACCTGGTATTTGAACCTGGTATTTGAACCTGGTACTTGAACCTGGTGCTTAAACCTGGTACTTAAACCTGGTATCCCCACAAGAACTCACATCTATAGACGATGGTACTACAGCCATGGTAGCAACTGCTAACTCGTGTCTTGTAAGATCAAACTCGTCAACTCTAATACCCATTTCTAGAAACTTCTGAAAAAATGGACCTATGAAAAATTAATATTGTAGAGTAAGACTTTCGATTTCATTACATCGGAGATAAAATACGATTAGATTGCTTGGCGGACATTACTAACTTGGCATACTAAGGATCTGTTTTTCTTCCTATCCTTCAATCCGTCGAGATATGAAGCAAAGAGCATGCTGGCTACAGATGCCATGATCAGGCTGCCACCAATAACGAACATTTCGCGGAGAAATGACATCCTGTCCACTGTTCTTGGCATCGCTAGTTGGGGGTGTAGATTAGATATTATAGAATGATCTGCTTAGTACTTATCCATGTATTGTGTAAAATTGCAAGGAGATATATGCTATGTGGGCTCTTTGGGTACTTAAATAAACACAATTGATCGGACGATATGGAAAATAGTTACATCGGCTCAGACGGCTGCCAGCTATACCATCAGCTATTTAAATTTCAAGCTAAAGCGATAAGATGACAAATTAAAAATATAAGCCCGTGTTGCGCGCACTATACAGTATCTTTACAGCCGCGTATTCCGTATCAGAGTAAAGAAGACCCTTCTAGATCGTTTCTAAGTGTAGCACACTCGTGGAGGTTGGAGGCATCGTTTGATCAAGATTTCTGAACTCCGGAGAGAGCTAAACCATACTAAAATAAACTCTCTCCGGCAGCAAGAACTCCGAGACAGGTCTATGTTTTAAAGTTAAATCAGAAGAGATTTAAGAGAGATATGATATCGAAAATTAATGCTATTTTTGTAATGGATAAATAGTATTAAGAAACATTTTAAGAACCAATTACGTCATCAGCGAAGAGAAACATAATAGATATCTTAGGTTGAATCCTGATGTCAATGATGTGGTTAAAAAGTATTCCATTAACTTGTAAAGTAGTGGGAAGTATAATGATAAGTTTAATTTTTAACTAGTTACTGGGTCTCTGGACAGCAGGGTGTCATAATTATTGGCGTGTTAAACATTTTCAAACGTGAAATATTAGCTTACCCAAGCTTTTGAAACGACCATTACTTGACTTCTGAGGGTCAATTTCTGATGTAGTTTCGATGATTGGAGAGGTAATCTTTTATAGTTTATACTTCAGTTCAGACTAAAAACGAAGTCTGAAAGAAAATGCTGACAGCCGGGGAGTCGGAGGATTTGGTTAACGCTGACGCCAGATGCTAACACTGCAGAAAAAATCAAAAGGTAAGGTATAACCATGCTGTACCTAGAGTTATATAGTTTATTTTATTGATTTTCGTAAAAATATTAATCATTACGAGTGATGATTTTGGCAAGCTTGGTGATAAGTTGGAGTGCTGACAGTGCAAAGAAAAAAGTTGAGTTTGCAGGGAATGTTGACAATGCAGCTGGACATGCCAATGATGACGTTTTGAGATTAACGTGGAGTAAAATAGGTTTGTCTGAGGTGTAGAAATATGCCATCTATCTATAGTTGACAGACTAATTGGTTTCTGGACAAGGATTCGGTCAAAACTGTGAAATTTCGGCCCAGGGAAATTCGTCTTCAAAAACAGAAAATGGGACAAGATTTGGGAGAATATGATTTTCCCATTTTGTCGGGGATTTTGACTTCCAGTACCTCTATTTGGTCTCATACCATCCTCAGTTAGCTGACTAGTTGGTCACTGGGCAAAAAATCCGTCAAATCTGTCAAATTTCTGTTCAGAAAATTTCATAATTGAAAATGGGACAGAAATTGGAAAATATGAATTTTCGTTTTGTAAAGCTTTCTGAAGTAAGCTTCCTCCGACCGGAATCAAACTTCCAGCACATCAATTGTGTCATATGCCATCTATTATAGTTGACCGACTAATTAGTTTCTGGACAAGAATTCGGTCAAAACTGTGAAAGTCCAGGAAAATTCGTCTTCAAAAACTGAAAATGGGACAAGATTTGGGAGAATACGATTTTCCCATTTTGCGGGGGATTTTGACTTCCAGTACCTCTATTTGGTCTCATACTATCCTCAGTTAGCTGACTACTTGGTCACTGGGCAAAAAATCCATCAAATCTGTCAAATTTCTGTTCAGAAATTTTCATATTTGAAAAGTTGAAAATGGGACAAAAAATTGGCAGCTGGACATGCCAATGATGACATTTTGAGATTAACGTGGAGTAAAATAGGTTTGTCTGAGGTGTAGAAATATGCCATCTATCTATAGTTGACAGACTAATTGGTTTCTGGACAAGGATTCGGTCAAAACTGTGAAATTTCGGCCCAGGGAAATTCGTCTTCAAAAACAGAAAATGGGACAAGATTTGGGAGAATATGATTTTCCCATTTTGTCGGGGATTTTGACTTCCAGTACCTCTATTTGGTCTCATACCATCCTCAGTTAGCTGACTAGTTGGTCACTGGGCAAAAAAATTGAAATTGGAAAATAATGGGACAGAAATTGGAAAATATGAATTTTCGTTTTGTAAAGCTTTCTGAAGTAAGCTTCCTCCGACCGGAATCAAACTTCCAGCACATCAATTGTGTCATATGCTTTCTGAAGTAAGCTTCCTCCGACCGGAATCAAACTTCCAGCACATCAATTGTGTCATATGCCATCTATTATAGTTGACCGACAAATTAGTTTCTGGACAAGAATTCGGTCAAAACTGTGAAAGTCCAGGAAAATTCGTCTTCAAAAACTGAAAATGGGACAAGATTTGGGAGAATATGATTTTCCCATTTTGCGGGGGATTTTGACTTCCAGTACCTCTATTTGGTCTCATACTATCCTCAGTTAGCTGACTACTTGGTCACTGGGCAAAAAATCCATCAAATCTGTCAAATTTCTGTTCAGAAATTTTCATATTTGAAAAGTTGAAAATGGGACAGAAATTGGAAGATATGAATTTTCGTTTTGTAAAGCTTTCTGTAGTAAGCTTCCTCCGACAGGAATCAAACTTCCAGCATCTCAATTGTGTCATACGCCATCTATGACCGACTAATTGGTTTCTGGACCAGAATTCGGTCAAAACTGTGAAATTTCGGCCCAGGAAAATTCGTCTTCAAAGATTTGGGAGAATATGATTTTCTCATTTTGTCGAGGATTTTGACTTCCAGTACCTCTATTTGGTGTCATACTATCCTCAGTTTGCTGATTTATTGGTCACTGGGCAAAAATACATCAAATATGTCAAATTTCTGTTCAGAAATTGGAAAATATGAATTTTCGTTTTGTAAAGCTTTCTAATTGGTTTCTGGACAAGAATTCAGTCAAAACTGTGAAATTTCGGCCCAGGAAAATCCCCATTTAGCGTAACTAACAATATTAGCTTACCCAAGCTTTTGAAAACGACCATTACTTGACTTCTGAGGGTCAATTTCTGATGTAGTTTTGATCATTCGAGAGGTAATATTTTATTCTTCAGTTCAGACAAAAAACGAAGTCTGAAAGAAAACGCTGACGCCAGATACTAACACTGCCGAACAAATCAAAAGATAAGGTATCACCATGCTGTACCTAGAGTTATATAGTTAAATTAATTGATTTTCGTAGAATTATAAATCATTACGAGTGATGATTTTGGCAAGCAATGCTGATGAGTTGGAGTGCTGATGATGCAAAGAAAAAAGTTGAGTACAAAAAAATTGTATTTTACTTTTTTTTTGAGATGAACGTGGAGTAAAATAGGTTTGTCTGGGGAGTAGTTAAAGTAGAGGATTTGAGGGATAAGTTGGAAATATGCCATCTATCTATAGTTGACCGACTAATTGGTATCTGGACAAGAATTCGGTCAAAACTGTGAAATTTCGGCCCAGGAAAATTCGTCGAGAATATGGTTTTCCCATTTTGTCGGGGATTTTGACTTCCAGTACCTCTATTTGGTCTCATACTATCCTCAGTTAGCTGACTAGTTGGTCACTGGGCAAAAAATCCATCAAATCTGTCAAATTTCTGTTCAGAAAATTTCATAATTGAAAATGGGACAGAAATTGGAAAATATGAATTTTCGTTTTGTAAAGCTTTCTGAAGTAAGCTTCCTCCGACCGGAATCAAACTTCCAGCACATCAATTGTGTCATATGTCATCTAAAGTTGACTGACTAATTGGTTTCTAGACAAGAATTCGGTCAAAACTGTGAAATTTTGGCACAGGAAAATTCGTATTCAAAAACTAAAAATGGGTCAATATTTGGGAGAATATGATTTTCCCATTTTGTCGAGAACTTTTATGGCTCGAATTTAGTGCATTGTGTTCAGAATCTGAAACCAAATGGAATCCAAAAATGTATAGACTGTAACTCATTCAGGTGGATCATGTGATCCACCATGTCAACAGCTGCAGCTAGTTAGCTTGTTGGTGCTGCATGTGGTTAAGATGTGACAAAAGTAACAAGATATACAAAATCGACCTATAGGGTGTGCAATCTGAACATGACATCTGCAAAGAATTGATTGTTACCTATGAGAGGATTTTAAACGAAAGAGGTGTTTATCCAAGCTCAGTATCGTGCATAATCTTCATTAGCATAATAATTAGGAAAATATTAGACAATTAATAAAATATTACATCACGAGGTTGCCAAACTAGAGGACTGAAACAGTTTTCATGGATTTCATACTCTATATGAGCCCCTGTGTGCTATGAATGATAAACGAAGTTCTCAGACTGTTCTGGAGTATTAACACTGAATACTTGGTTGCCCTTTTTCATTGGGGGGGGGGGGGGGGGGACAAATGGCAATGTTACGCACTGCACCCGGACAGTATAGAGACAATAATTGATTAGACTACACTTGACTGTCACATGACTTTTTAAACACATTCTTTAGTCTGATCTGAACCCTAACCTTTTCCCAATACCTAACTAAAGCATATTTTTAAAAAACCCTGGGGGAGGTTGCCGGAGGGGAGACGAATCATAAAGGAACGCTCAGGGGACTGGGGGGAACAATATGCTGTTAACTACTCTGTTAGGATTATTGAAGAGAGCATAAAAAAACGAAACCATGTTCTAGGAATATTTATAGATTTGAGTAAAGCATTTGATACAATCGACCATAGTACACTCCTAACAAAACTAGATAGGTATGGAATAAGAGGCAATGCAAACTGTCTCATTGAAAGCTACTTATCAAATAGAACACAGTACACAGAAGTCCTTAATGAAAAATCCGAAAACCTCATCATTAAATATGGAGTTCCACAAGGCTCTGTTTTGGGACCGCTCCTTTTTCTTCTATACATAAATGATATTTCCAATTCCTCAGATTTAGGAACTTTCATACTATTT